ATGCAGAAGTCCGAGTGGAGATCGATGAGTTGAAAGCAGGCATGACTAGGCTTACCGAGATGCTTCAAGTACTGATTGCGAAAGGAGAGCCACCTCAGAGGACCGTCATTCAGGAAGTTTCAAGTGCCGATCCACCTCTGGTTTCACCGCCGCCCTCTACTTGGCCGGAGTTTAGTTTACCTCATAACTACTCTCCATTTATTGCATCTGCCGCTACGATTGGTCAGACTGTCAGACCGGTTTTTCAAGCTCCTATCCTTACCGAGGCCAGACCTGTGGTCCACATTATTAATCAGACTGTCCAAGCTCCCTTTAAGAATCCTCCCTATGAGTATAATATTGTTGATGTTCAAGAAGATTTTGTTGAGCGATTTTGTTGAGCCTGAGATCACCCGTGAACAGTTTCAGATTATAAATAAGAGACTTCAAGCTGTCGAGGGTACTGATATCTTCAACGTTGATGCCGACAATATGTGCCTAGTTTTTGGTCTTGTTTTGCCTGCCAAGTTCAAGACTTCTGAGTTTGTGAAGTATCAAGATCACTCATGTCCAAGAGCCCATCTAGTCATGTACTTCCGAAAGATGGTAGCTTACACCAACAATCAGAAGTTGCTCATCCATTGCTTTCAGGATAGTTTGAGTGGTGCTTCTCTCAAATGGTATATGAACTTAGAGCATAATAGCGTCCACTGCTTCCAGGATCTTGCCAACGCTTTTATGAAGCAGTACAAGTACAATTTGGACATGGCCCCCGATCATCGTCAACTACAAAGTATGTCACAGAAGGAAAAAGAGTCATTCAAGAAGTATGCTCAACGCTGGAGGGAATTAGCTTCCCAAGTTGAACCCCCTATAGCAGAGAAGGAATTGACAGGAATGTTCATGGATACTTTATCTCCTTTCTATTTGGAAAAGATGATTGGGAGTGTCTCTTCAAGCTTTACAGATCTGGTAACTATTGGCCAAAGGTTAGAAGAAGGTTTGAAAAATGGTAAGGTGTCCAAAGATGCCGAATCTTCTAATGGTGCAAAGAAATCCTATGGGAATTTCCATAAGAGGAAGGACGAGCAGACCAATGTTGTCATGACTGAATCAAGAAAGCCTCGCCACGGATCTCAACCTGTTGTTGCTTTACAGCCAGCTCAGGCTCCTCAACATCCAGTTATTAGACAAGACCAGTATCGAGATAAGAATCAATTTGATCTCATTCCCATGACTTACACAGAGCTATATCCTGGCCTAGTTCGACAAGGACTGATCACTACAAGGGCTTTACCACCTCCTCCTAATCCTTCTCCTGCTGGATTTAGGGATGATCTACAGTGCGCTTTTCATGAGGGTGCCCTAGGCCACGACTTGGAGCATTGTTTTGCACTGAAGTCTATAGTGCGTGAGTTGATGCGAGATGGAATTCTTGATTTTGCGGATAAGCCTCCAAATGTCCAGAAAAATCCTTTGCCAGTGCATCAAAAGTGAAGCTTCGGTCTGACTCCAATGGATTATTTGTGTTTCAGACAGGATGGCTCACTGATTTAGTCACTAAGCTTTTGTTTCTCGTTGTTTATACTTTTCTTATTTTTATATTAGTTGTTTGCTTTCAAATTATGTTTGTACTTTTACATTAATGAACTGAGCATTGCAACTTTCGATTTCAATTCATTTTGTCTATTATTTGCATCTTTTATGCTTTATCTTTAAATATTTACTTCTTGTCCAAATTTTTGATATGCAAGATTGGAGGGAGGATGAAGAAAACGTTATACCCATAATTGTTGTCAGTATGCTTTCAATCAAACTTTGTTGATGATGTAAGGCATTGTTTCAACTCCCAAACACTGGAGAAATGAGGAAGTTATTCCCTTGTCACCCCCTTCGAGCCTAGAAGTTGGAGTTTCTTTCTTTACAAAAAACTCGTAATCTTAACCTTGGGATGGGTAGTTCTCAGTTAACTTGGTTGTATATTCATACAATACACCTTTTATATAAAGGTTGCTTTCACAAATTTTCCTTCGCACACAACAAGTAAGTGTTGAAGATGTTTTCCAAGTCAAAAGCCGATGATGTTTGTCGTAATCATTAAAGTCCAGCAGTCACTTTTTTGCAAAAAAATAAAATAAAACAAGCCCGCTAAGTTAACACCTATGAAGGAGACTTAGGCAAAATTGGGGCATCCCGCTGACTGTAATCTTCACAATAAACAACTCAGGAAAAATTTAGGGATAATACAAAAAGGAGTCTTAAACCCTTCATCTTGAAAGTTCTCAATGTCAAAACAACCAAATGTTATAGGGAAGTAGTGGTTGCCTTTTCATGGGTCCTTGATTTCTGAACCATCATTGCTACCATCAATGCAATTCCTACCTATAGGAACCTGAATGCATCATATGAGTTAACTGAGCATAGAACTGAATATTATCACGTAGATTAGGTGGGTACAAATAAATTTTGAGCCTTTATCCTTTGTTTCATAAACCGTGAACCAAGCCACGTTACAACCCTCAAAAGACCTAATTGAAGCAAGGTTATTTTGAAAGCTTACTACAGCAAGGTTGCGTAAGCTAACTCCTAAAGATCTTTACGAATCATTTATTTTGGCAGTACACTTTTGTTTTAAAACTTTGAGCGTCTCGAACCACCGTGTTCTGACCCACGACTCGACCTTTTTTCATCTTTCAAAAATAATTTTGATTTCAAAAGTTGCATGAACTTCACATTACCATGTTTGTATGAACACTTTAGTTTGCAAATTGGCTTTCCTCTAAGGAATTTTCAAACAATGAGAAACTTGGTCAGGTGATCCTATCAGGGGCAAGTTCCTTTTACATCCTGTCTAAGAATCAGTTCAAGATTTGTTCAAGGCAAGGTCTTCTCAGAGTTGGTTTATCCAAAAGATTTTTAAAGACTCAGACTGGGGCAAGCCTCCGAGGGCGCAATTAAGCAATCATCTACAGAATCAAACAAGCTGAAGTATTTACCAGTTCAATCTACAGACAGTTTAATCTGGGGCAGTTTACTTGAAGAATCCCCAGATAGATATCTTTCCTTCCTACAAGGACCATCAACTTGATACAGTTTAGCAGTGTGGCAGAGATGTGTCCAGCAGTAGCATCTTTAGTCCCTGAGCAGAATGGCAATGATCTCCGTGTTGAGGAATCAGTTTTCCAGTCTTGTCATCTAAGGAGTGAGATTAGACAGGGTTACAGACTTATAGTTTTCATGGCAAAAATTTATATCTTAAAAGTAAAAGCATAATTATTTTCTCAATATCTTTATTTAAATCCAAAAAGGTTAATAATTACTTACAAATTGAAGTTGAATCATGAAAATTTAGACTTACGTTATTAACACCCCAAACCTTTATAGTTTTGTCAGCTGAGGACGTAGCAACACACACATGCTTGAGCAAAGTCTAACATCAGTTATCCATTTAGTGTGCTCGTCAAATGTAGATTTCAGGTTAAGCAATTCTGTGCACCAAAGAGAAGCCTGGACCACATAGCAGGTTAGCAAATACAAATCAATAAACAAAATTTTCTTTAAACAAATCACTAAATGTAACAATATTACTAAATAGCGATAATTTCATAATTAAAGTTGGATCACCCAGAATATACCATGTTATCGTGACCACCCGTAACAAGTAGTTTTCCATCCAAGGAGAAGTGACAAAAATTAACTTTATACGAACTAGTCTTTCCATGCTTGATCTCCTTAAATGAGAATCCTAATAAAAAGCAGACCATTCAAATTTGAAAGCTTATTAGGCTTTTCCATATAGTTATATAAAAATTCCATTCCATCAAGTTTCTATTGAATTGGGATATTTTAGGAAGAAAGAAGAGAAGGTGAATAATTCACAACTATCAGATTTATCATACCTTTGTCAACTCCTCCTTTTTGGACTTCATCGGCAAGAGATGATAATGACTCAAATGGGAAGTTTACAAATTCCCGATGATCCAATTTATTTATTCGAAGAAAGAAGAGAAGGTGAATAATTCACAACTATCAGATTTATCATACCTTTGTCAACTCCTCCTTTTTGGACTTCATCGGCAAGAGATGATAATGACTCAAATGGGAAGTTTACAAATTCCCGATGATCCAATTTATTTATTCGAAGAAAGAAGAGAAGGTGAATAATTCACAACTATCAGATTTATCATACCTTTGTCAACTCCTCCTTTTTGGACTTCATCGGCAAGAGATGATAATGACTCATATGGGAAGTTTACAAATTCCCGATGATCCAATTTATTTATTCGAAGAAAGAAGAGAAGGTGAATAATTCACAACTATCAGATTTATCATACCTTTATCACACATTTGTACTGTAATTAAAACTTATTTATTTGATTCTAATTCATCTCAGAGCAAGGCATCAAAACCAATAAAACCAAACACGTGAAGAAATTGATATCACCACTGCTTAATCACAGATAAATAATAAAGAATAAGTAAAATAATTTTGTAACTCAAATATTATCAAAATGTAACACCAAAAAAGAAAAAGGTTGTTAATTTTCCACGGGAATGGCTTATTTGCAAAAGATAGTTAGGCTTTTGCAAAAAGAATTTTATCACAAAACACTTCACAATTAGGATTATAAAATACTATAGCCAGACAAGCTTAGAACAATAATAAAACAATATGCAATTTTTTCTCCATTCACCTTTTATTCAATTAAGTTTTTAAATCCAAAAACATTAAACATTGTGTCTAATTTTTTTCAACATAGTTTTCATTTAAAGACATTGATTCAAATACAAATGAGGAATAGTGAACTGTTCCTCTCTAATGTAATTGGAATGGTGAATAAAGATTTAAATATCACTTTGATCTAATGATGCACACTTTTTTCAAAGGATGAACTTATTACAAACTCCAAACTCATTACAACAAGATGCATTTATTTATAGATACATCTCAAACAAAGTAAATAGCCTTAAGCAAATCTCAAAGATACATCTCAAAGAAAGTAAATAGCCTTAAGCAAATCTCAAACAGAAGGCTTAATGATCCTACCATATCCATTTTGCTTATCAGCAAACCTATCCCAAAGCATCACCCCTCCATACTTGCCTGATCTTTTAACAAAAGGCAACACTTGACTCACAAGCACACGTGCTGGCACAAAGCCACTACTAGCACTTGACAGTGAGGCAGGAACACCAACATAAATCTTACTAACCTTAATAGTCGAAACCCATTGGTTCCAAGATTTTTGGAACTTATTAGGGTTGCTAGAATCATATTGACAAGGACCATTGTTGTAAAACTGAACCCAAATATAATCAAATAGTCCTGTTGATAATGCACTTTTGAGATTTTGATCGGGGAAAGGACATTGAGGTGCTGCTGTTAAGTACACTTTTTTGTTCCCTCTATGTTGAACCAGTCTTCTTGCAAGTTCAATGTAAAAAACTTCACCACCACCAACTTCAATGTCGAAATCTACACCATCCAACACAGCGTCCCCTAACGGTCTTGATTTTGATGTCCCTCCTAAGAAATTGTTCCATATGTAATCTCCAACGTTTCTAGCATCCTCATTGGATGACAAAGAGTAACCTTCGACTCCGCCGCCGATGGAGAGGAGGATTTTGATGCCTTTCTTTTGGCAGTTTTTTATGTCTATGCTCAAACTCTTGCAACCGTTGTTGGATAAAGGGTTACAATGACCTGCTAGATTGAGTTGAGGTTTGCGACCATTTCCAAATATGGATAGAAATGCTATGTTGGCAATTTTGTAGAGTCCAGTGTTGCATGTTTCTGTTAATGAACCTTCTCTCTCGTTTTGACCCCAATAAACCACTATGTCTCCAGCATTTGTACTAGAAAACAAGGTCAGGAAAATTAACAGACACAGAATTGGATTTGAAAGGGTGCATGTTTCATTGCCCATTGGAATATGTTAACTACTTTGATGCTTGTTAGATTGGAATATGTTAACTACTTTGATGCTTGTTAGAGTAATAAGCAACCAATTTATAGAGGCCAGTTTTTGTTTTGTCTCTTCCATAACCCAATTTTTCTTTTAAATGTTTAGGGTGAAAAATCATCAGAGCAAAAAATAATTAAAAATTAAAATCTATGATTCATAGAAATTGTATGCTGTTTAGTTAAGCAGTCAATTCATAGAAATTGATAATTTAACTTGAAAATCATGTCATATATTTTAATTTCCAAATTGTTATGTTATTCTAATCAGTTTGCACAACAACAAGAGTCACGACGTGATTGAGGACAAACACCAACAGCAAAATACATTAAATTGCGTCGTCATGGACATGAAAACAAAAAGACGAGTATAAACTTTATGCATCAGATTGTGTATGTATGTGTGTTAAACTCCATATCAGTATTAGTTTAAAAAAGAATAACATGATACAAAATGAATTATGAGCAGATTTTCAGCCTCGAGATCTGAAAAAAGTAGTCGTATTCTTAAGCTGGATTCAATCATATAGCACTAAATAATTTGTGGGAATACTGTTTGATTAATGTAATCAAGAGTTGGATAGGAACGAGCAGGACATGTTAACGACAAAGTCCGTGAATAGGTACCTTCTACCTTCCATTGACTATATTGTCCAATCATTTTCGTACTCACCGGAATTACTACTACCACATCTTCCATAAATGTTTATTGCATATTCGTATAATAAAATTTTCAGTTGGATTAAAAACTATTATCATATAGATCATATTATAAATTTTAACGTCAATTGAAAATTATTTGCTATGTTAAATAGAAGAATCAGAATTAATGGTTTTAATCAATATGTATAACTTGTAAGACGTTAGTTTTTATGCATCTTATTGCCATGTCAAATAATTTTTAGTTGATGTTAAATTTTATAGATATGATTCATATGATAATAACTTTCAATCAAACGGTAGATTTTGTTATACAGATATACGGTAAAGAATTATCAAAAATATCATGTTATTAAATTTGATATTTGAATGCTCGTTGGAAATACGAACATTCTCGAGAAGCACAAACAAACTATCCTAGGCGGAGTAGCACACTTCTTGCTGGAGAGCAGTAAACCAAATAAGACTCTGGCTGGGGAAAAAATCTTCTGAACTCTTACTGGGAAGAGTAATCAGAGATTTCACCATTCTGCTGAGGGTTATAAAGCCTTAGTATTCTCTGTCATTACTGATGGCAATCTTGCAATGAAGAAAGCAATACAAAGGGTGTTTCCGAATGCTTATCATAGGTTGTGTGCTTGGCATCTAATTCGCAATGCAATGTCTAACATTGGAGTTCCTGAATTTATTAGTCAGTTTAGGAAATGCATGTTGGGTGACTATGACTTATGCGAGTTTCGGCGCAAGTGGGATGACATGATTGACACATTTGGGTTGCATGACAACAAGTGGGGTGCAAGTGTGAATGTGTACTACTTAAGCTTATGCTTATTAGAATTTTATTTGAAAGAATATTTTGTTCATGATCGTTCAAGTAGTTATGCTTGGTGAGATTATACTGAAGATGTTGATACAACCTTTTCAGGTTACAGATACCATGATGATTTAGTTATATGTTTAATTAGTTGTATCCTATGATAGCTCTCAATTAGTTTCTAACAGGTTCTTGAAGTCTTTCTTTCCAAAGGTTGGTTTGATTATTAGCAATCATAAATTGAAATTAGAAATGGTTGGACTACTGATATCAACCTTTATCCTGACATACACATTCAATTTTGTGTGTTAGCATCGGAGAATTGGTCCCTATTAAATTTGGACTTTTCAAGTTTTGTCCCTTAGAAAGTACTCTTTTTCATATTAAACTCGGTGCTCTTTTTCATATTTGATGAATTTATTTAATGCTCATGGTTTCATAAAGAATCGTGGAAAAATACCCTTATTCATTCCCTTTTTTTGTTACTACAAATTTGATTCAATGTTAGGGATTTAAACAGTGGTCGCTATAATGGTTCTTGTCAATCTGATTCTTTTTCTGTACAAGCCGTTCTTGAAGGAAAAATATTTTATAGGTTTTGACATAATGTAACTATGGCTGTTGAAATTGAATTGACTCATCCAATTTCTTACATTGACCGTATCAATCTTAGTATAGAAGTCATGTTATCAATAAGCTTGCAAGTGTTTTTGAGTGAAATTGGGTAGACGAATTGAGGAAAGTTTGTAGTTTGAAGATGTTAGAATGAGCTTATAAGATAATAGTTATTTTCTATTTCACATATCTAAAATGACATGGTTCAGTGGTAGGGTCTTAAACAATGGTTCCCGTCAATGTATCATAGTCAAATGCGGTAGATGCGACCTCAAAACCATTGTGTCGTGGTTATTCTTGCTGTTGTGTTGATACTATGGTAGGGGATGGAATGATTCGAGATATTTCTGGTGGACAAAAAAAACGAGTCACGACTGGTAAACCATAAATCTCTTTAACCATAAATCTCTTTATCTGTGAAATACTAATATGAAATGAAGTGTTTTTATTTTCATTTTGTATTTTTTGTGAAACTCATGATGTGACTATGATTATAGGTGAGATGCTAGTTGGCCCAGCAAGAGCGCTTTTCATGGACGAAATATCGACTGGTTTGGACAGTTCCACAACATTCCAAATGATTAATTCACTAAGACAATCCATCCACATTCTGAATGGAACAGCTCTCATCTCTCTTCTGCAGCCAACACCTGAAACTTACGAGTTATTCGACAACATAATTCTCCTCTCAGAGGGACAAATTGTGTATCAAGGTCCAAGAGAAAATGTCCTCGCAATCTTTCAACACATTGGTTTCAAATGTCCAGAGAGGAAAGGAGTAGCAAATGAAACATTTGACTGCAGCATTTGATAAACCACAGGCTTTAATATCAGAAGAAGCCCTGGCTGAGAGAAATGCTTGTTTGTTCTAACTTTTCTAAGTGCAAAGTTTTTTAGAGGAAAAAAATTCATCATTTGCAGTTCAACAGCCATGAGGTGTTTCTAGTGAGAAACTGAGTTGTTCCATCAAAACTCATCATGAGTTTTTGCATTTTGATATGAACAGACCTTGTCTTTTGTCAGTAACTTATGTGTGTGGTTTAGCATGTTGGTTGTAGACTGCTGTTTGAAAAGCAAGTTCAATGCACCAATTTTTCCACTTTCTGCAAGTGCTACAGCAGCCTTCATTAATAGGCATAATACGGAATTTGTTGTATTCCTGCACAGAAAATCTGCAGAAAACTGTGTCAATGAACTCTGAGTCAGTGGAAACTATCAGAATTATTGAACAATTGTCAATTTTCAAAATTCCATCATTTGTAGCCATTTAAGTGAATAAGTATATGCCTGTAGATCTTGCTCAAAAGCTATGGTACACCCAAAAGAAATCAACAGAGAATTGTTAGTTTCAATTTTTACTATCACAACCATGAAGGTTCAAGAATATTCTATGATTAAGATTTTAAAATACATAATATTATATGTCAACATTTTGTACAGTTAAAAACCTGAAGATTTCCTTGTATGTGTGTCTACATGTAGTAAAAACAGAATGAGTAAACAAAAGGTGGTGTATTTAACCAGCTTGACCATTTGTTCAATATTCCACCCCCTTGAAATGAACTTATCCAGCTTGACCATTTGTTCAATATTCCACCCCCTTGAAATGAACTTATCGTATAAATGCTACTTATCTTGCCGATAAAAATATGACATTTAAAAAATCTATAATGAACATTATAATGAAATTATTACTAGAGTGCTGCATATGAATCCTAAGGCTTAATAAAGTTGACATGATACTAAAACCAATACGAGTCAAGAAAGTGAGCAACCAAAAGGATCATGTCAAAATAAAGTGATCCAAAACCTACTTGAAGTACCATGTGAGTTATGTGGTGTTAGTTTTAAATTGGTTCCTCATGTCATCTTACAATGAAGCTTGTGTCTCACTTGAACTCTGTTTTGAAATTTTTGGTCAAAGCTAAATGTGCTGAATGTCCTTGAAGTAAGTGTGATTATTATTTTTGAGGATTATGATAGAAATAAAGAGGGAACAGTCTAGAGGTGATTTGCAATCCATGCACAACGATATGTCCATGCTTCATAGTATCTCATATCTCATATCTTTAAGGATGTTTTTACTGCCTAGGAACTTGGACAAGATTGAGTTCATGGCTTACATCTATGAAGTGCATATTTTAAAAGGGTCTCCCAACAAATACTGAGGTATTGGGCAACTTTGCTTAAATGATGTTCTCTCTTTTTTTAATTGTCTAAAAGGATTTCTTATTCTCTAACTCATTGTAATTTCTTCTCTGACTTACTGGTCCTTTTTAATTTTTTAAGTATGACTTGCAAAAGTAAAATATATTAGAACTATAAATATCACAGCAAAAGCATAGAAAACGTGTAGTTTATGTAATTGAAATATCTAGAACTTTCGGGATACCTGCCCATGTTTATTCCAAGAAATGTTTCCAGTCTGTCCCTAAATTGCAAGATTTGAAGTCTAGCCAAGCCAACATCCCATACATGACTAGAATCATCATCATCTACTTCTGAGAATCTATGATGGTCAGTGATGCGTAGACCATAAGCCAACAAAGATAGCCCCTACATTTCTGCGCTCTTCCCAGAGCAGGGAAAAAATATGCAGGATTCTCTTCCTGGACCTTTAAACCATTTAGAATGTCTATCAACATAACCACACCATTCCTATCTACAGTGGCAATGACATGGTCACACCACCAAGTAAAATCCAAAAAAGAGCTATTACCCCCATTCGATGAATTATCAGATACTAATGAATCATCCTTCTCTCCCAAGACAAGCCTTCTTTGTCCAGCTTAAAAATATGCAAGCATCCTGTCAAATCCAGAGTAGCAATGAATGTAGCTTGTGGCGAGATTAGCAACTTTGGATATATTAGCTACCTCTATAACCTTTTGGTTTCGAATATAATCCCTCAAACTGCAAAGAAAATACCTGTTCCAGTTCTTTGCTTGAATTTTTATGCCAAAGAGAAAGATGGCAAGATCCTAGAAGATATATAAAACTAGTTAGCAAAGAACTGGACAAACAATATTTTGCAGATAAATGACTTGTGAGATCTACGGTCTATTCTTCATGTTCTAATAATAAGTTATTGATAAAAGAAGCAAAACGATTAGAGAATATAATACAAGAGGTACAAAAGAAAAGGGTAAGGTGTGTATGAAATTTAAATTGTGATCACATAATACAAGTTCAGTAAGAATTCCACGTGAAGATAAACATGTCGACAGCAATGTGTGATTGGTGCTTGAGTTTAGTTTGGAACAGACCAATTATCACTGTCTTGTAGTTTTTGAAAGGCTGTTGTATTCAGTTCCCACATTTTGGATAGGTCTGTTTTGAAACTTGATATGCTTTGGTTCTGTCAAGCCTTTTCTTTGGGTTCAAATTTGCCAACGCCTGTGGGCTATAGGTATTTTTGATTGACTGTTGTGGTCATGCTACATTGAAATGATTCAATCAAATGCTGTCAAAGCACGGGATGATCAATACTGCCTCATTTGTGAACATGGCTGCCATCTCTGTGTATGATGATGTTTTAATTTTTTAAGCCTGTCAAGTTTGTTCTCTTGTAAGGAATTCTCAGTTGATGGTTTGATCCTATCCATGTCATGATTGCTACCAGTTTGAGTTTGAACTCTGAGTTTACATGTTGCTGCGGAAACCCTTGGCCTGGTATTCAAACACGATGCATAGAGGGGCTCAATTCAGTTTTGATGTTATTATTTTGGTTGAACCATGTCTGTTTGTCTTGTGTGTCACCAACTGTTTTAAGCATAAAAGGTACCTTTACTATATGTTTCCCTTGTATCTTGTGAGTCATGATTGAAAGACTGCTTTTGAGGCAAGTTGTTTATCATCATGTTTGGATTACACATGCCAATATGTCATTTGCCTTCCTGTTTTTAAGGCTTACTGTCATGATCTGGACAGTCCTCCAGATTTTGATTTCTTTATCAAACAAGTTTGTTTTAGAGATCCTTGAATGTCTAGCATTTGGTGCATTAGCTCGACTGAGTTTTTTTTTGTCTGATCATTATGTTTTGGTTGTTCAAATCATGTTCTTTAGCAACTCATGTGCCAAATTCCTATCACATTGTCTTTTGATTTAGATTTCTGTTGGAACTTGATCTAGTACATATTTGACACTTGTGCACATTTGAAAATCAGCCTGCTTACATTTACTTTGTCCATTGACTCAAGAAATGCATCTCAAGCTTTATCTTGCATGACCAAACCAATCGCGTCTTGAGCTGTGTGCATCATTTTAAATTATGGTTGATACCATGCTCTTCCTCATGAAAAATGAAGTGGTTGAGTTGGTGTTGTTTTGGGTCTATGACCCCAAGGTCTTTATTAAAAATATTAGAGTCTCCGCCAATCATAGGTGAACTACCAACAGGTAGAGATTGACTAGCAGTACCGCTCAAACCAGGAGATTTGACTCTGCCTATTTCGGCTGACCCAGGTCTTTCATCTCCACCGAGTGATGGAAAATCTTTATCGAAAACAGCTTTGTGATAACTGCTACTCATACTACCACCAGAAAGTGCATCACTGACATTGCTCTGGTTGAAGTTGCCACCAGATTTAGTATCTACAGCCCCTCTGTGGTTAGCAAGCTCGTTCTGTTTCCTAGAGACCAATGAATGAGAGGGCCGCAGAGGATCCCTCTCAGTCCTTACTGAGAAGAGGTCAGCCAATGGTTCAGAACATTTACGATCCCAGTGGTCTAAACCGTTGGATCTATCTTTATCTCTATCGCGGTCTTTATCACGATGATTTCTGTTGAAACTACTATAGGCATTTTTTGCAGAGCCATTGGTAGTGCCCCTCCGAGAATTTAACGAAAATGTCCGTTCAAAGAACACAGAACGAGGACTATCAAAATCACTAGTTGTCTTAGAAGACCTATTCCTTGAGTGATGAGCTACAGTTTGAGTATCAGTGTGATTAGATGAAGATGCAAAATGGTGGGCTGAACTGGGAACACTTCCTGAACTTCTCAACCATTGTGGAGTTAAAGCAGGTTCACTTTTGTTCATAATGAACACTGAACATGATCAGAACCAACACACAAAAAGCAGAACCAACCCCACTCCTAGAACAGCACTGTTATAGGCTGAATTCTAAACTAAACAAATGACTCCAATTCTCACCTCCACATTTCCCCCTAATCTAATCACCTAAACACACAACTATTCCAAACCCTAAAAGATTAATCACAAAATTCACAATGCCGAACCGAAATTACCCCCTTAACAAACCACAATCTTGAATCACAAGACAATGTCGTAAAGGAAAAACTTCTCTAAGCCTCCATCTTCAATTAGAAAGATGTATTCAAATCAAACAATAACTCGAAAACTCTCTCCAGAGAGATAATCGATCCCCGAACCAAGAAAACAATGACGAACTCTCAACAATCGATAAACCAAGAATTAAGCACGATTGAAAATTTTAATGAAATAAATGAATTTATTGCATTATATTAAAAAAAAAGTTACAAACAAACAGTGCAGGAAATGTTACATTGATAACAAAATGAAAATGCAGAAAATGTTACACTGATAAAAAATGACAGTACAATAGATGTATCATTCATCATGTCTTATAACTAATTTACAAATTTCCTATTATTCTATGATCCTAATCATCTAATTCTGCTTGTCTTAGAATTTTTGCAATTGCTGTCAAACTTGTGTAAAATGTGATTCCTCCACTAGTGCATGATGTTGCTTCCAATATGCAGAGTGTGTCAAATACTCTTCCTTAACTAGTAGAAAGTTGCTTCCGATATCCTTGCAAAGTTTTGAAGACATGAAACTATACATTAGCATAAATATTCAACTCGGTGTTTGCCATTCTATTGTAATAATTGGACATGGTCGACTTGTTGCATCAGGTTGCCAGTGCTGCTACCCATCATCTCCTAAGTGTTGTACGAGTTCTACAACTGCTCAAAAAGCTGAAAAGCATAAAGAAAGAAATTCAATCAAGCCTCAGTTCTACAAGAGTTCACTTCAGTTTTGCTGCTTCACGTGTGAACTCAGTTAACCAAATATTAAATACATAATTTGTAGAGGGAATATCTATAGAACTCTAAAGTGTATATATATTCTATAACCTAAGTCAAAATAAAAAGAACATGCAACGGGTACCTCTTTGAAACTTTTTCCACAAAAGGAATGCCCTAATATATTGGAGTTGGCAAGCAGGGCACTCATATCCTTAGTACAACAATCATGATCTACAGTATGAGGACGAGATTTCACGTGAACCATGGTTTTCCACAAGTTCGGAAATCAACTTCTGGATCAGTGTTTGCTTGAGATATGCCTTGGCAGGCAGAAACCAAACCGTATTGAGCTGGAAAATACAAGCTATGTCAGGCCAAATCCATATAAGAAACTATACAAATCATTAATAAATTTGTTAGTGTTACCCTATAGCGTGTAGATATAAAACAACTAGGCAAGGAACTACAACAATTGGGAGATGTAATATTCAATAGGCATGATCATAGCTCAGATAACCCAAGTTGAAAAATAGGCAATAAGGAACCAAATGAATCATTTATGAAGTGCCCGTCGCCCTTGTAATATTAAAAGAGATAACATAAAGACAACATGGCAAGGAACTCCGAAACATGGGGGATGTTATACTAATAGTAATATTGGAATGATCAACAGCTCAGATAAAGATAACCAAATATGGTCAATTGAAACAGAAGAATTATGTATAAAACTTTAAGTTAAATGGTGATAATACATCAAGTGGTTAATTAAGTCGAATCAATGGCTAATCATTATCCAATATTTGAATATTGATAATCAGGAATTTTTTTTCCAATGACCTTTTATGACTCTCCCAAAAAAAGATTGACATAAGCCAAAACTAAGTTAAGAAACCCATTTACAAAATTGGAAAACTTTGTTAGTTTGAGTGGATTGAAAGTAAGAGGAGCTTCGGCAAGGAAGAGCTCTAGGTAGTGCAACAGAAAGAGGCCACAATCATATGAGTTATCCTGTTGTGGCAACTGTCATGAAGAGAGCGCGTGGTCATAAAACAATAATGCAACCAAGCATAAGAACAGGTGACAAAAAGGTGGTCAATGTTCTCGACAACCCACAATAAGCACGGTATATTCCTGCCTGTTTTTCGACAACAAATGAAGGGGAAAATCAAAATTATCAAGTGATGGGGTTTTCCTTTCCAATTCTAAATAGAACAGATCACAAAATAAAATAATTTTTCAAATCCATAATGCACTTAATACAGAACATATAAGAATGAGAAAACATAGGGTAATTAAGCTTACACATAAGTGACTAGCAGAGATGTAAACATATCAAAACCATCTGTTAGACACAATTTAAGAATCATTTTCAACCCTGTTTGAACATCAACCCTTTCTTGCAAACTATAGTCACCCGTAATCTTCCCGTAAGCCAGCAATAGGAAGATCCACCATAATCCTATCAAAGAAAATTTTTAAGAAGTGAAAATTCATCGATTAAAATTGGATCATCGGGAATTTGAATAAATGAGAAAATAAATATATTAAAAAATTAAAAACCAGGAAATAAAATACTTATACACTTGTACTCAATCACTTGTTTAGATCATAGGAGACTTTGATCGAATCATATTGTGCTGCCGTAATTTTAATATAAACTATACTTCGCATTTTCAACAAAATCACATTACCTCAATGATTTCGTCAAACTCCTTCCCTTTTAAATATGCAACTTAGTTTATTTGTTAAACTTATTTAGGATATTAAAAGTATGGCTTCTTGAATATTTTTTCCTTTCCTTTAGTTTTGAATAAAACGTCAATATTTTTCTACGGATTAATTGTTGACTATACAATATAAGTTTTTGTATATATATTATACTTTTCTTTTTCCTGAAGGAAGTTGGAACAAAAGGCATATACAAAAGACCTGTGAAAGGAATGTAAACCTATATCAACAGCATGTGCGAGTCACTTCCAGATTTTGAAATAATTGTCATGACTAACTGAAGCCACCAACCCAGTAAAATTGGATACTGCCAAGGCAGATACAAGCTTGCCGTGTCCGCGCAGAAACATTACATTTCTCGCTATATAATCCCACAGCATAAGAGTCTGAATTAAAAAGAAAGATAATGAATGTTGTATTGGTCCAAAGTCTTAATAGAATGTAATATCCTTTTATATATAGTAATAATAGTATGACAACAGACAACTTACCACGTCGCAGCCAAGGACCAGAACATGATAAATGGGATGAAAAACACAGCTCTTGAATTTGTCATCAGACCCAGCTGTATTCAGTTCATGAATACACAACCCACTGCCATTGGCTCCAACTTCCCAGATTCTCACGAGATCATCACTAGCAGATGCCAGATATTTTCCAGACCAGTCCCAGCATACCGAACGAACAATGCTATTGTGGCCCTAAAATTGATATATAATGGGTCGTTTAGAGCTCAATTGCAGAGGATGAAAAAGATAGGAAGAGATAGAGAAAGATGGCATTGATGGATAACACTTCGATGTAGTTTAGAGCTAAGACAGAAAACAACTGACATAAACTTATTTTTTTGGGGAATGACAAAATAATCAAATGTTGTTAGTCTATTGTTACCAATAAGAAAACTACAGCGTTGTTTGAGGTCAATTAAAACTTAAGCATATTCACAAACAGACATACGCAAACACTAAATTCAAAGCTTACCTGCAATTTAATTCTGCAACTCGGATTTTTTGCGTCAAGAATGAGTATTAGATTATTTACTGCTGCTGCAAGAAGCTTTCCCAAAACAGGTTGAAACCTCACCTGAGTTGCGCCGCCCTGATAGTGTAATGGAAAATTTTAATTTATTTACAAACAATATACAAGTACGTTGGAATTTGCTTCATAGTATCTGTTTGAGATTTCCTACCTCGAAAATCCCAACACAACAACCATTTTCAATACTCCAATATCTTATCTCCCTTTTATCACAAGAGCAAATAAGGCCATTTTTGTTTGGGTGAAAGTCTAGTGACATCACAGTTCTTGTATGCCCTGTAAATGTCCGAATAGAATGACTAGGCTGCAAAGGGAAATGAAAATTCCATTAATATGATTAAAAAATACAAACTCATAATAAAAAGAATATCTTAACTTGTAAGAAAATTCAGCGCGATGCACCCTAGCCCCTAAGACTAATGGAATGACAAATCATAGGAATTAAATCTGAAGCTGATCGCGGATGTCTTTTAAGGCTAGTCTACTTTCAAAATTAATATCAGCAGAATCAACTTTGCCACTTAACTGCATAACTGTTGCTAAGCAAACAGCATGCACAGAAGGATAATGTAAGAACCAACTACAAGTTGATTTATTGACTAAATCTAGCAACAGAAAACACTGTCAAACCCCTCTATCTTTGACATTTATCCTCTACTACCAATCATTTATAATTAAACACAAAAGCTCATTAATCAAATACATTTTTCGTATTTGTTTATTATTGATAAGAATAGACTATAGTCCCTTGCTGATATAGTGATATTTCAATAGCAGACAGGAAGAGAGGGTTATAAGAGAAACAAAAGGTAATTGACAAAAGAGGGTGTAAATGTGATTAATGCAATATGACATCTAAGGAGTGAGATTAGACAGGGTTACAGACTTACAGTTTTCATGGCAAAAATTTATATCTTAAAAGTAAAAGCATAATTATTTTCTCAATATCTTTATTTAAATCCAAAAAGGTTAATAATTACTTACAAATTGAAGTTGAATCATGAAAATTTAGACTTACGTTATTAACACCCCAAACCTTTATAGTTTTGTCAGCTGAGGACATAGCAACACACAACATGCTTGAGCAAAATCTAACATCAGTTATCCATTTAGTGTGCTCATCAAATGTAGATTTCAGGTTAAGCAATTCTGTGCACCAAAGAGATGCCTAGACCACATAGCAGGTTAGCAAATACAAATCAATAAACAAAATTTTCTTTAAACAAATCACTAAATGTAACAATATTACTAAATAGCGATAATTTCATAATTAAAGTTGGATCACCCAGAATATACCTTGTTATCATGACCACCCGTAACAAGTAGTTTTCCATCCAAGGAGAAGTGACAACAATTAACTTTATGCGAACTAGCCTTTCCATGCTTGATCTCCTTTGTAAAGAGTTGTTTTTCTTCATAGTACAAAATATTGTAAAAAACAGAGGAGAAATCACACATTTGTACTGTAATTAAAACTTGTTTATTTGATTCTAATTCATCTCAGAGCAAGGCATCAAAACCAATAAAACCAAACACGTGAAGAAATTGATATCACCACTGCTTAATCACAGATAAATAATAAAGAATAAGTAAAATAATTTTGTAACTCAAATATTATCAAAATGTAACACCAAAAAAGAAAAAGGTTGTTAATTTTCCATGGGAATGGCTTATTTGCAAAAGATAGGTAGGCTTTTGCAAAAAGAATTTTATCACAAAACACTTCACAATTAGGATTACAAAATACTATAGCCAGACAAGCTTAGAACAATAATAAAACAATATGCAATTTTTGTAACCATGACTTAATGAAAAGTAAAATAAAATAAAACACTCTTGTATGTCACATAATTCTAATCAGAAACAACATGAAGAGCTTCTACATCTTTATGGCATGACAAAAGATATATTGCATATCAACCCTCTCTCCAATTGTGCCCACACTTTACATTCAAGCATTTGAAAAATAATGTTGCAGGCTCATCAGCTGATCTAGTCTGAACCTCCTTATAAGCAGCTTTATCATGACGGCAATTTGGGCATGGTACTGGAAAAAAAAGAGAGTGAAAGAGAAATGAGTGAGAAAAAGAAGAAAGAAAATGGAAATAATGATAAAGAAAATTACAAAAAAAAAAACAAGGATTGCATAATTACTCAATATCTCTTAACAAAAACAGTATTAAAAAGAATAAGGGGATAGTTACTAGTCATCTGGTCTCAAAGAAGACATTTTTATACAAAAAGATGGAATCGACCCACTTTTAAAAACAAAACAAAACATTGAACCCAAGTATCAGACAAATCTTTGCATCGAGACACGAATTTGATATGTATTGGTAGGTGAAAAATAAGCTAATCAGGCAACCTAAACATATGATAAAAGTGTTTCTGTCTTAGACTAGTCTTCATATTTTGACACTTCGCAAAATACCCTGGCATCCTCAACAATCCCAGAAGAAATAAAGAAGCATACACAGTTACATTAAACCAGTGTTGTCAATTGCATATACACAATTGTTAAAACTCTACCATGCAATAATGCTATAGCTACTATTTGACAACATTTTGTACTAAATATCGGATCACAGAACAATAGCGGTTTCTCTAAAGCTACAAATTGACAACATTTTGTACTAAAAACAGATTATATAATCTCCAGCAGGAAATAAAATAGTACAATCAATTCAAACAAATGACATATAATTACTGAACAAGATAGTAACAATAAACTGTGAGAAAAAGAAAAGAAAAGAAAATTAGTAATACCTTCAGTAGTGGGTGCATTCTTCATGTCATCAGAGGAGATAACAGGTTCAATCCCTTTTCTGAACAAGATTTGCTTTCTCTTAATCTTAACCCCTCTTTCAATTGGGCAAACATATGGACAAGTGGTGCAATAAAACCTAGTCGCGTGTCCCATATTCGGTAGCTCAATCATCAGCATGCTCCCACACGTTGGACAAAACTCCATCTTCTAACTAACACACAACAACAACAACGCAATCAATGTAAGAAGATTAGGGAAATATATTAACGATCAAATAAACCCTAGCTAGTTTAATCACGGTCAATAGCGGCGCGTATCACTGTCGCGGCTGCCTCACAACAGAACGACGCGGCGCGTGTAGCCGCCGTCGCGGTTTTCTGCGTCTGCTACAGTGAAGATTTTTTGAAAAGGTGAGAGAGAGAGAGAGAGAGAGAGAGAGAGAGAGAGAGAGAGAGAGAGAAAAATGAGAATACAAACCAGCGGCGGCGTGAGTGAATTACAGTGGCTAGGTCAAACGAAAAGGAAAAAGTTTAATTATGATAGGTTTAATTTTATTTATTTATTTGATACTGCAATTTTAAATATTTTTAATTTGTTTGTAAATTGGATTGGTTTAAATATGTAGTTATTATTTGTAAATATATCACTTCTTATCCAATTACTTTAATTCGTTTTTATTTTTGTAAATTTTTTTTTAATTTTTTTTTAGTTTTATTATTCTGTTTTAATCACTACAAAATTAATTTAATTTATATTTAATTTAATTTTTATAATATGTAAATATTTAAATTTAAATTTTTAATAAAAGTTAAATTTTTAAATATCTATGATAAGTAATTGGATATTAATATCTTTAATATAAATTTATTTAAAATATTAATTTATTTTTAAATATAATATATAAAAAAATGACATGATATTTTTTTATTATTATTATTATTATTATTATTATTATTATTATTATTATTATTATTATTATTATTATTATTATTGTTGTTGTTGTTGTGATTTATTATTGTTATTACTAACAAATAGGTGTTTAGAGACGTTTGTTTGTTGTTTTTCAGTTAAGACGCTGTTAGTGTTATTAACTGATCAATAAGACGGTTTTCACTAATGACCTCCCCTTAATCCCTGATTAGTTATGTACAGCTAATATTTACCTTTCACACACCCTTAACGGTTATAACTTTACTGCAAAATAAAATTCCAAACAATAAAATAAAATATATATACATCGGTCCCACACTGGTTATTAACTGAGCCTTCCATTTTCGTTCTCTCTTCTTCTTTCCGCCGCAATCACAACCGTTGATCTTTTCTTGATTCATCATGCCCGTTCATCTCGCCGGAAGTTGAAGAAAGAGAATAGATGGTGCGGTAGGGCTCCAGAACAAGAGAGTTAGAATAATCAATGGTGTCTCCGGCGAAGTCGCAGCTAGTATTAGAGATCAACTTGATCTCAGCACAAGGTTTGAAGCCAATGTCATCACCACGGAGAAAGTTTCAAACCTACGCTGTCACGTGGATCGATTCTTCCACCAAGCTCCGAACACGAGTCGACAAAATCGGAGGCCAGAATCCTACATGGAACGACAAATTCCTCTTCCGCGTTACGCCGGAGTTTCTTGCCAGCGAAACCGCCGGCGTCTGTGTAGCAATCTACGCTGTTGGTACCTTCCGTGATCACATAGTCGGTACAGTCAGGTTCCTTGTCAGCAATATTCTCTCTTCGAACTCTAGCAACGGCGACGGCAACGGCAACGGTAACAGAAGTCCCTGCTTCAGCGCAGTTCAAATACGTCGGCCGTCGGGGAGTTTCTACGGCGTAATGAACATCGGAGCAATGGTGGTAGACGGTTCCGGTTTTCCGGCGCTGGAAAAAATATCGGCGATAGGTTACCGTGATCTAATGGGAGAAAAGATAACAGACCGCCGGAGAAAGTTACCGGAACCGAAACTGAAAGTGGCGGTGGCCGGAGAAGAAGTTTCGAGTGAATCTTGTGATAATGACACGTGTGGTACAGAATCAGTGGATGAAACGGAGTCATCAACGTCTTCATCGTCACCCAAAACGACGGCGTTGCAGGATTGGAATGGAGTAAGAGAATTGGCGGGAAACAAAGGGTTAGCGGGTGCAGGATTCTTATGCTGTTTGGTTGCACAGAGAAGTGTTCACTCTCTCTCTCCTACCACTACCAGGTAACTATGAGAGAGTGAAAAGAAAGAGGGAAAAAAAAACTACTATACGATTAGAAGTAGTTTATATAGTGTTATCAGAGATTGATGGACGGTGGAGATTTTCCTGGCAACAAGCTCAAAAACTGAGTCAAATTTAGCATTGTTTTTTTTCTTCTGCTGTTCATCATCTTATTGTTTTCCCATCCTTTGGGACTATTATGATATTATCAAATCAGTCCCTATTCTTTGTATTGCTGGACATTAGAGTACACTCTGTTTTTCTTTTTCTTTCTTTCAGGTTTTTTTTAATTCAATAATTCAGAAATACATAAAAAGTTTAGAAGGATAATTCTTCGTGACAATAGTGTGAAGTTTTTATATTTTATTATGGTGGTTTTCATAGTGGGAAGCTATACTTTTAGACATATATTTTTTTTTCAATCCTAGATGAATATTTATCGAAACAGAAGTTATAAAGTGTGAAATTAGTTGCAAAAACTGAGTACTGAGAAACGTGAAATTAGTTGCAAAAACTGAGTACTGTGAAATTAGTTGCAAAAACTGAGTACTGTGAAATTAGTTGAAAAAACTGAGTACTGAGAAACTGTGTACTGTGAAATTAGTTGCATATAATTTTTTATTCATTATATATGTGTGTTATCACATTGTCTATAGAGTAAAATGATGGAGTTTAAATGGTAAAATAATTTTGGTTAAATTCAAATGGTTAAATATATATGAGTTCAAAAGAAAATATAATTTAGTTTGATTTTAGCTGAAATAACTTTTGATTAAAATTTATTTATTTTCTTATTGAGTTCTAAATTATCAAATCTACTTTAATCTAAAAGTTAAGTTCAAAGGAAAAAAGTGTTCGCTTGTCTTGTTTGTTTCAAAAATAGTTTATTACTTTCTTATTTTAGAAAAATAAATTGGAATATTTTTCGTTTGAAAACTCGAAATAGATTATTTGATTTAAGGTAAGTATAATGAAACCAGATATTATAGATTGCACCTTACTTTTAACATGTGTAGTGTTTTTATATTTTGTGTCAAGTAGAGTGAATTTGAGATGAATTGAGTTTTGTTCAATTGGGTCTTTGGCAAGTCTTGAACAGTAAGCCCTATATCTTTACTAGACACTAAAGGACTAGGGGAAGCCTTAAGTATCATTGATTGATTGACCTACACTTCGTGATCTAATGTGGAATGCAACTGAATCACTTGGGAGTAGTTTTAAAAAAGTAATGGAAATAAATGCATTTAATTTGGTTCCATCATTAAAATGTTTAGTCAGTCATTCCTGACATGTGACGTGACCAACTATGGTATGACGCAATTTACAGAGTGCTTGAGTGCAATTGAGTTGACGTGTATCCATGAGTGAAAATCTAACAGTTGATCTCGTGATTCCTTCACAAAGTTGGTCTTGGTCTTTCAGCTGACTTTGTTTATAAATAGAGTCAATTGAGGATTTGAAGGTGATTTTTGCAACCTTTGGTATTCGAACTCACAGTTACTTTCCAGAAAAACGTCTTCGTTCTTTCTTCCTTTAGAGTGTCACTAGAAATGTTTAAATTATTGCATGTTTTATTTAACTCGTGTTACGGAGCAAGTTTATGTTGTGTTTGAGTGACACCCTTTGTGTGTAGTTGTTTTATTTTTGTATTTCCCGCGTATTGCCTAGTACAATAGTAGAAGAAAGTGCATCAAAATGCACTGATTTGCACCATATAAAATGTTTGCTTCAGAGTTGAAAGAACTAGAGGAGCAATTAGAAGAGCTACTTGAGAAGAAGTTTGTTGGGCCAAGTGTTTTGCCGTGGGAAGCGCCAGTGTTGTTAATGAAGAAGAAAGATGATAGCATGAGACTGTGTGTTGACTATCGATAGCTAAACAAGGTGAGTATCAAGAACAAGTATCCACTTATGAGGATTGATGATTTGATAGATCAGTTGGTAGGTGCTTGTGTGTTTAGCAATATTGATTTGCGTTCGAGTTATCATCATATTCGCGTGAAACCAAAAGATATTCTGAAGACTGCATTCAGAATAAGGTATGGTCACTATGAGTATTCAGTGATGTCGTTTGGTGTGTTTAATGCCCCTGGAATGTTCATGTATTACATGAATAGAATATTTCATTCGTACTTAGATCAATTTGTGGTTGTGTTCATCGACGATATTATGATATATCCGAAATCTAAGGAAGAACATGTGGAACATCTCAAAGTTGTGTTGCAGACCTTGAAGGAGAATAAGTTATATGTAAAATTGTCTAAGTGTGAGTTCTAGTTGAAGGAAGTGAATTTCCTTGGTCATGTAATTTCTAGTGGTGGTATTATTGTTGATCCATTTAATATAGATGCAATGTTGCAATAGGAAACTCCAAAGTTTATTACGAAGATTAGAAGTTTCCTGGGTTTGATAGGCTACTACAAAAGGTTTATTGAAGGCTTTTCGAAGTTAGCATTACCTTTGACTCAGTTAACTCGAAAGGGTCAAGCATGTGTTTGGGATGTGAATCGCAAAGATATTTTTCAAGAACTCAAGAGGAAGTTAACGTCTGCTCCCGTTTTGATTTTATCGAATCTGAGTGAGACCTTTGTGGTGTATTATGATTATTTGAATATGGGTTTAGGTGGTGTGTTGATGCAGAATGGTCAGGTTGTGGCTTATGCCTTCATACAGTTGAAGGTGCATGAAAGGAATTATCCTATGCATGATCTAGAGTTGGAAACCATGGTGTTTATGCTAAAGATTTGGAGATATTATTTATTTGGCTCTAGATTTGAAGTGTTCAATGACTACAAAAGTTTGAAGTACTTGTTCAATCAGAAAGAGTTGAATATGAGGCAGATGTGATGGCTTAAATTTTTGAAGGATGATGATTTTGACTTTAATTACCATCATGATAAAGCCAATGGTGTAGCTGATGCGTTGAGTAAAAAGTCATTGCATATGTCGATGTTGATGGTTCGAGAGTTAGAATTGATCGAGAAATTCAGAGACATGAGTTTGGTATGTGAAAATATTTGTAATAGTGTGAAGTTAGGTATGTTTAAGCTAACCAGTGGTAAACTTGAAGAAATCAAAGAAGCTCAGAAGATCAATTTGGGATTGGTTAACCGACAAGTGTTAATTAATCATGATAGGGGGCGTGATTTCAGAATTGATGAAAATATGGTGATAAGGTTCAGAGACAGATTTTATGTACCAGAACTTAAGAAGAGTATTCTTGAGGAAGGTCATAGAAGTGGTATGAGTATTTATCCCGGTTCCACTAAAATGTATCAAGACCTGAAAAAATTGTTTTGGTGGCCAGAAATGAAGAAGTAAGTAACTGAGTTTGTTTTTGCGTGTTTGACATGTTAAAAGTCAAATATTGAGCATTAGAAGTCGTCGGCTCTGATGCAACCATTGAGTATTCCTGGATGGAGGTGGGATAGTATTTTCATGGATTTTGTGACAAGTTTTCCGAAGACGGTGAAAGGATGTGATTCCATTTGGGTTATTATTAACAGTCTGACTAAATCAGCTCATTTTATACTGATTAAGATCAATTTTCCTTTGCAAAAGTTAACAGAGTTATATTGAGATGATTTTTAGCTTGCATGGTGTTGTACCACAAAATTTAACCAACCTTTCCTTTCTAACTTGGCTTATGTTTCATTTCATTTTATCATTTGCATGTGCATATCATTGGTTCTTATCAGGGGATCAAGAGAGTTTGTTTTGTGCCATCCAAGAGGAGAGCTTCTTTGTTCCCAGATCAAGCAATGGCATTTGTGCAAGCCATCAAGTGCTCACCATTCTCAGGATTGGGTTTCAAAGCTCCATGAGAGGAGAGGTTTGAATATGGATGTTACCTCTTATCTTGAGGATCATCAGAGGGTTATCAGAAGTCATGAGATCACTTACTTGGATAAAACTTGGATTAAAATCTCATTGTGTACCTTGAGGGGTCATTGTGGAACTTGTGTAGTCATTCAAGTCATTTGCAAGAGCCTCAGTCAAAGGTTGTGGAGCTAGGGTTTCATCTAGTCAACCACAAGTCAACTATGGACTTGAGAGGGTTCAAAAGCTTGGTTCTAGGCCATTGAGGCATGGGAAGTAATCCCAAAGCATATAGGATTTCATGTTAATATCAAATCAAGCAGATTCAAGAGTTCAAGGAGTTACTAAATTAAGGTTTCAGATGATTTTAGTGTAAAATCCCCTTTATTAGTGCCTAACTTCAAGGACAATTTTCACTATGATGCTGGATTAATATTAATTTCATGAAAACATGGTACTTGTTCATAATCTTTCAAGCTTTATTTTGAGTACAAGAACTCATCCATTGAGTTTTTACATCTCAAGTTATGGTGTCAACAAGCTGGTGTCCTCAGATGAAGAGAATTTTGGTCAACTCAGAGTCAACTCACTTCCAAGGCATTTTTGACATGGAATAAAGTTTCTCCTTAACTTCAAGTGAATATGAAAGTTGTTCTTTATGATCTTAGCTTTCCAAAAAATCCTAGAAGTCCTTTTTCTCATGTGTACATCTCAAGTTATGGTCTTCACAAGTCAGGGGTATTTCTGGAAAGTCTATTATAGGTCATTCATTTCAATTGTCCATTTCATGAACTTCAAGGCCTCTAATCCATTTTCAACCAACATGAAACTTGTGTCTAATTGCCTTGGCTTCACAATGGACTCAAAATTCATGGAGTTTGGTGGTTTATGTGATCATATGGACCATTTCAAGCTTGAAAAATTGACTTTTGGTCATTATTTGATTTCCTTACATTACAAGGTACCAAATGACTTGGTTTTGAGCATCTTTTGCACCATAACATCACCAATATTGCTTTGCTAATTTTTACCTCTTTTGGACAAACAAAGATGCACCTTTCATGCCATATTTTCAAAATTCATACCTTAAAAGTCATGACTTGAAACTTTGTACCAATTGGCTATACATGAACCAAAATAATATAATTCATTTCCACACCACATGTATTGATTGTTGCTGACCCAAAGAG